TGACTAAGCATAAAGTCCTCAAGATTAATCCATGGTGTGGCATATGACAAAAATCACTTTACTGAAAGTACCTTTTAAAATATGTAGGTGGGGCTGGGAAGGTGGCTCAGTGGTAGAGCGCTTGCCTTGCATGCCTGAGGTCCTGGGTTCGATTCCTCAGCACCACATAAGCAAAAAGAAAAAAGCTGGAAGTGGCTCAAGTGGTAGTGCGCTAGCCTTGAGCTGAGGAGCTGAGGGACAGCGCCCAGGCCCCACAATCGGACCAAAAAATAAAATAAAATAAAATATGTAGGTAGCCAAGTGCCAGTGGTTCATAACTTAATTCTACCAATTTAGGAGGCCGAGATAGAGAAGACATGTTTTAAGGTCTATCCATAAAGTTCACAAGACCCTTCTCAACCCACAGCTGGACACAGTGGCATGCATCTCATCTACATCAGAGCCTGAGATTAGGAGGGTCATGGTTCCAGGCCTGCCCAGAAAAAATGTCTTCAAGGTCAGTCTTTCGCTTCCATTTGCTTTGTATGGAACAAGAAGTTATTTCTCACTTTTTCATTTCTCCTTACTTTAACCCTGTTACACACACACACACACACACACAAATCCTTGTGAAAACTCTTCATTTCACATGAAGATCTCAAGGATGTACAGTTTTGTATGATAGCTGAGTGTCTATTCATCATTGACAAAAAATAGTGAGCCTAAGCCAGAAACTGAATTTCACAAGGTACAAAAAGTGTGTTTTTCTTGGGACTCTGTCTGTCTCTAAATCTTAGCCATAATGGAAGCTTTCTGTCTCCTCTCCCACTGGCCACCCAAGGGAGGACAAAAGAGGCAGGGATGAACAAGGAAAAGTAGAAAAGGAAAAGTTCTGCTCTGCATATTCCATGGCACAAGTTAGTTTTCTTTTTTCTTTTTTTGTTCTGCTGTGAGGTTTGAACTCTGGGCCTGGATACTGTTCCTGAGCTCTTCAGCTCAAGACTAGCACTCTACCTCTTGAGCCACAGCGCCACTTCTGGTTTTCTAGTGCTTTATTGCAGGTAAGAGTCTCACCAACTTTCTTGCCCGGGCTGACTTTGAACCATGATCTTCAGATCTCAACCTCCTCAGTAGCTAGGATTACAGGCGTGAACCACCAGCTCCTGGCTAAGTCAGTATTCTTTTTTATTTTGGGGGGGGAGGGGGGGGGTCCGGTTGTGAGGCCTGAACTCTGGGCCTGGATGCTGTCCCTCAGCTCTTCAGCTAGCGCTCTACCACTTGAGCCACAGCACCACTTCCGGCTTTTTTCTTTTTGCTCATGTGGTACTGAGGAATCGAACCCAGTGCCTCAGGCATGCAAGGCAAGAGCTCTACCCCTGAGCCATCTTCCCAGCCCTAAGTCAGTTTTCTTAAGTAACTGAAGTAACTCAAAATAGGGCCCTAGGACCCTATGTGTGGTCAGTCAATTAATTGGTACTTTGAATGACTGATTGTTACAGGTACTTCTCGGGCCTGACTTTCCTGGATTTGTTCTACCTAATGCCAATCCCTAAGTTTGCTTTAACACTTTATTAACAATGTTCCCCATTAAGTCTTGCTTCTTTGAAGATGGGTCATTTTTCTCTCATGGACATGTGAAGACTATGGGAAAAAACAGAGCTGTGTTCAAGGTTGCTGTGGGCAGTATCCCAGGACCAGCCCGTCTTCCCTCAGTCTGTCCCACAAAATTAAGCTCACTGGTTCCAAGGGAGTCAGATGTTAAGGCATGTGCCTGAACAGCAGTGTGCTGATAGGAGGGAACTGAAAGAAAATTGGAATTTTTGTGTCTAAATTCCTTCCTATCTCCTACAAATGCCAATCTACTTAACATTGGTATTCTTTTTTTTTTTTTTTTCCTGGTTGTGCAGCTTGAACTCTGGGCCTGGGCACTGTCCTTGCGCTCTACCACTTGAGCCACAGCTCTACTTCCGGTTTTCAGGTGGCTAATAAGAAATAGTTTCAGGGACTTTCCTGCCTAGGCTGACTTTGAACCATGATCCTCAGATCTCAGCCTCCTGAGTAGCTAGGATTACAGGCATGAGCCACCCGGCTCAACACTGGTATTGTATGGTATGCCATTAGCAAAGAGACAGTAGGGCATACAACTCTTTTGAGTTTAATAAGGCACTATGTGTGTGTGTGTGTGTGTGTGTGAGAGAGAGAGAGAGAGAGAGAGAGAAAGGGAAAGGGAGAGAGGGAAAGGAAGGGAGAGAGAGAGAGGAGAGAGACAGACAGACAGACACACTATGAAATGCTCTTTTCCTGCCTGACAAGCATGCTGATCTCAGAAATCAGGATCATCAAGTTAATTTACTAAGTTTAAAGAGGTCATTTACTAAAAATTGAGATACTGTTTCCAGGAGTCTTTGTTTCAAAGGTGATATATAAATGACTCTCAGCCTGCCTCAGAAGGTCCCATCAATAAAAGGGCTGGGAAGCAGGCCGTGGTGGAACACGCCTGTAATCCTAGCTACTCAGGAGGCTGAGATCTGAGGATTGTGGTTCAAAGCCGGCCAGCCCCCAGCAGCAAAGGCCCTGAGATGCTTACCTCCAATAAACCACTCAAAAAACCAGAAGTGGCACTGTGGCTCTAGTGGTACGACCAACCAAAAACAAAAAAGGCTGGGAAGATGCAATGATAAAGAGTAGAACACCCCCTCTATAGGATCACATGTTTATCAATTTTTATGTCTTAAAGTATAAAGAGACTCTGCCTTTAAGCCAACTAAACTAAGTGTTCATATTAAAGTAACTCGGAAGAGGTAATTTCCTCAGTCCTCCACCCCAAAGAATCATAGCAACTATGCATCCTTTTATTTCTTTATTTTTATCCTTTGTCTTTCTCTTTTTTTGGGGAAAGAGGCAGGGGGTCCAGTCGTGGGTCCTGAACTCTGGGCCTGGGCGCTGTCCCTCAGCTCTTCAGCTCAAGGCTAGCGCTCTACCACTTGAGCCACAGCGCCACTTCCAGCTTTTTACTTTTTGCTTATCTGGTGCTGAGGAATCCAACACAGGGCCTCAGGCATGCAAGGGAAGCGCTCTACCTCTGAGCTGCCTTCCCAGCCCCCTTTGTCTTTCTTTTGAGGCACAAAGAAAACTAAATTGGTAACTGTTGTTACTATTTGTAGCAATTTGTTACTTTAAAGAACTCAGAATTGAAACTTGGCAGGTTGCTCAGTGTTAGAATGTTTGCCTTGCACACAAAGAGGCCCTGGGTTTGATCCCTCAGCACAACATAAGCAGAAAAAGACAGAAGTGGTGCTGTGGTTCAAGTGGTAGAGTGATAGCCTTGAGCTGAGGGACAATGCCCAGGCCCAGAGTTCAGGCCCCATGAAGAACTCAGAATTTAAAGTACAGAAATTAGGAAAAAGGAAATTTATTATTATAGTACAATATGGCCTCAATATAAGTTGGGTAACAGAAAACTTGGCCTGCAAATGAGAGTTAATACTATTCTTCAGTTACATTTTATAAAATTCACTCTTCAGCTTTTTCTGATGACAGAAATGTCACATTGAAAACAATACAACAACAACAAAAACTCTGATGCTTTTCCAAGGACTCTGGGGTTCTTTTTCTCTTTTTCTTTTTTTTTTTTTTTGTCCCTGAGCTCTTCACCTCAAGCCAAGCGCTCTACCACTTGAGCCACAGGGCCACTTCTGGCTTTCTGGTGGTTTCTTAGAGATAAGAGTCTCACAGACTTTCCTGCTTTGAACCAGGATCCTCAGTTCTCAGCCTACTGAGTAGCTAGGATTATAGGCGTGAGCCACCAGCGCCCTGCTCCCCAGGAAATTTTTATATGAACTTAAGGTTGTAACTACTTCTTTTGATCTAACCTGAGTACTTAAATGTTCTATTCTATGTGTTGTACTGCTGAAGAGAAGCATGTATTTGGAGAGCAGCTTGGGGGCCTATGCTAAGTTCAAAGTCCATACCATTAATAAAAAAAAACTATATGTAATGCCAAGCTAGAAATCAATTTTCTAGTTTATTTATAGCTATTTTACAGGAACCATCACAAGATATACCTAATATAACTATTCTAAGTCCTGTTAATTATCTTTGTGTTCTTCATCAGATTCATTTTCCCCTTTAGTTTGCTACATTTTCTTTTCTTAAAAGAAAATCCACTTCTCAGTAAAATTTAATGATTACATAAAAACACACACACAAAAAAAAAATATATTAGTAGGTACATAAGATGTAGTGAAACTAGCATCCACTGCGTAATCAGATTAAACATATCTTCTCAAAATTCATCATTTCTTTGTCTAAAATATTGAAAATCCTTTTTCTAGCTTTGAGACACACAACAGTCAATTGTGATCAATTGTCACCATATTAGTATTATACCTAACTTGAACTTATTACCCACTGATTAACCTTTCCCCATCTGTCCCCCTTCTGATACTAGTATTATTTTCTCATTTGAAAAAAATAAGTCACCAAAAGTAAGGATCCAGAAAGAAACACACTCTCTCTTTAATGAAAGTTAACAAGTTCTACATGTCTGTTAAAATGTCATGTGGTCCTACAGTTAATATTTACATTCTTAGGACTTTTCCTCAATAAGAACACTAAGTTTCATGTTCAAAGTTCATGTATGATTTGCCTAAACATATCAGCGTATCAACATATCATTGTGATTGGGTGAGCATTTTTTTTTTTTTTTTTTTGGTCATGGGGCTTGAACTCTGTGAGCCTGGGCGCTGTCCCTCAGCTCTTCAGCTCCAGGTAAGTACTCTACCACTTGAGCCACAGCACCACTTCCAGTTTTTCAGGTGATTAATTGGAAATAAGAGTCTTATAGACTTTCCTGCCCCTGGCTGGCTGTGAACTGCTGGCTGTGAACTGCGATCCTCAGATCTCAGCCTCCTGAGTAGCTAGGATTATGGGAATGAGCCACCAGTGCCTGGTTAGGGTGAGCACTTTAATGGCAATAAGAGAATTAATTTTATCAAGGTTCTGCAGTTTTCCACCTTTACCTTGAAATGCTAGTACACAATTGACTGTAGATCCTTCTACATAATTTTCAGGCATAGGAGACCATAAAAATGTGTAATAATCACGAGCAGTACTCCATCCAACCTACAAAAGAATAACAACAAAAACAGGGAATAAGCCAGGTATAGTAGTTCTTAGTTTATGTAAAGTTAACTGTCAGAGCTGAGTGCCAGTGGCTCACACCTATAATCCTAACTACTCAGGAAGCTGAGATCTGAAAGATCACAGTTAGAAGCCAGCCTGGACAGGAAAGTCCATGAGACTCATCTCCAATTAACCACCAGAAAACTGGAAGTGGCTCAAAGTGGTAGAGTGCTAGTGTTGAGCAAAAAAGAGCTTAGGGACAGCACCCAGGCCCCAAATTCAAGCCCTACAAACCACAAAATAAAACCACTATATTCTTCAGGGATAAGGGCATGGTTCAAGCAGTAGCACACCTACCTAATAAGTTTGAAGCCCTGAGTACAAACACCAGTATAAGTAAGTGCTAGCACAAGTCCTAGGACATTGGTTCAATCCCAGGACCAAAAAATAATAAAAATCCCTAACAACAACAAACAAACTACTGTTCCTCAGCAATGTAATGTAATTAAGGTATCTACAATGTGATCTAACTTTTTTTTTGGGGGGGAGGGGTCCAGTCATGGGGCTTGAACTCTGGGCCTGGCTGGGCGCTGTCCCTCAGCTCTTCAGCTCAAGGCTAGCGCTCTACCACTTGAGCCACAGAGCCACTTCCGGCTTTTTTCTTTTTGCTTATTTGGTGCTGAGGAATCGAACTCAGGGCCTCAGGCTTGCAAGGCAAGCGCTCTACCACTGAGCCACCTTCCGAGCCCCTAAACTAACTTCTTATACTCATTTTCAAATACTATCTGACTCCAGGCAAGTTAAAATCCTAACACTTTCTCAAGCATACTACCCATTTTCCCATATTCAGTCCTTCTCCTATGTAGCTACTTTCTCCTATGCAGCTACAATCTGGATGCTGTATGTCTGCCTATCAATAGGATATTCTAACAAAATCATTCTATAGAACAATCAGCAATATACTAGTGTTAAAAAACAAACAATGTGGAGCTGGGAAGGTGGCTCAGTGGTAGTGTGCTTGCCTTGCATGTAAGAGGCCCTGGACTCGATTCCTCAGCACCACATAAGCAAAAAGAAAAAAGCCGGAAGTGGCGCTGTGCTCGAGTGGTAGAGCTCTAGCCTTGAGCTGAAGAGCTGAGGGACAGTACTCAGGCCCAGAGTTCAAGCCCCACGACCGGACCCAAAAAAAAAAGAAAATGTGGCTTAGTGGTATAATGCTTGCCTAGCATGCATGAAGTTCTAGGTTCAATTCCCCAGTACCACATACACAGAAAAGGATGGAAGTGCTGGGGCTCAAGTGGTAGAGTGCTAGTCTTGAGCAAAAGAAGCCCAAGACTGCCAGGCCTTGAGTTCAAGCCCCATGACCAACAAAAAAATATTAAACAACAATGCCATAAACATGTCAATCCCACTTCCAAAAACTGTCCCTACAACATTAAAAATACACAGCTTTCATGTGATTTGTTTCTAACATATTTATAAGATGATTTCTTTGTTGCTTTGAATGTCTCTCCCGCAAGGTATAACCCCTGCTTTCACTGTATTTGATGTTGGTATAATTAGTGAAGGGGAAGGGAAAAAACAAATTGTTTAAATAGGGATACAGGTGGACCCATTGCAACAATGAGATGTACAAGACATTATGTCGAAAAACGAACATTACAACTTTTTTTTTTTTTTTGGTGATGGGGCTTGAACTCTGGACCTTGGCACTATCCCTCAGATTTTCAGCTTAAGGCTAGCACTCTATCACTTGAGCCACAGTGCCACTTCTGGCTTTCTGAGTGGTTTATTGGAGATAAGAGTCTCCCAGACTTTCCTGCCTGGGCTGGCTTTGAACTGCAATCCTCAGATCTAAGCTTCCTGCGTAGCTAGAATTACAGGCATGAGCCACGAGCACCTGGCTCAAAATATGCAGTTTTTACTCATTTTCATCAATATTCTCACTTCTATACTTTGGCTTATATCACTTTCCAGCTAAAAATGTGTCCCTTTCCCTCAATTGCACTTTTTTCCTCATCTAATTCATTCGGAAGAAAACACCAGTCAGTCCTCCATGAGTGTCAGTCAGTCCTCCATCAATATTGGAAACTTGATACTCATATCTTGTATGTCATATAAAATCAAAATTAATACTGGTTCCACACAATGCTTACAATGACTATGATCATTTTGGAATTTGAAATCCTAAAAAAGATACAAAAAGTAAACGTTTATCTATTCATGAGCATTAAAGAATGAAATACTAGGCTGGGAAGGTAGCTCAGTGGTAGAGTGCTTGCCTCGCACGCGTGAGGCCCTGGGTTCGATTCCTCAGCACCAAATAAGCAGAAAAGGCTGGAACTGGCACTGTGGCTCAAGTGGTAGAGCGCTAGCCTTGAGCTGAAGAGCTGAAGGACAGTACCCAGGCCCAGAGTTCAGGTCCCACAACTGACAAAAAAAAAAAGAAATGAAGGTCCCAACATTTGTTTTATACTACTGTGTACTGTTTACATTATTCCCTAGTGAGGGAAAGTAAACCTTACTGCAGAATTAGGACAAAGCTAGTACAAGCTACTTGCTAAAGTATTTAAAGATAAAATAAAAAGAACCTATGTAGAACACATTGGAGAAAGCTTTCTTACCTTGAATATACCAACCCAGTCTTTCGGATGTGGATAGATGTAAGGAGTTAAGGTGTAATGACATTCTAAGTGTGCATTAGGAAGATAACTCTTGGCCACATTTTGAAAGATGACATGGGCAAAGTTGGAAGTCTGCAGTGGAACTTCTTGAAATGATGTCATTGTGAATCTAAAACAATTCATACAAGTTAAATTATACTAGCTATGAATAAATTTGTCTTAAAAATAAAGAACTTTGAATGCAACTTTCATGGATATTTTATTTACATGTCATAATTGAAGAGATACACTTTTTAAATACCGGAACTTCTCCTTAAAAATAAATATAAAGGGGAGGAGGGGGGAGGATGGGAAGGGATGTGAAGGGTAAACAAAGGAGGAGGCTGCAATGCTTGATAAGAAACGTACTCATTATCTTGCCCATGTAATTGTAACCCCTCTGTACAGTATGTTCACAAAAAAAGTTAATTAAAATAAAAAAATAAATATAAAAACACCAATTGAGAAATACCAGTATGGCTCAGAAAACTACACAGAAATTTAAAAGCCAAAAACAAATCTGGGTATAGTGGTACTCACCTGTAATCCCAGTACTTAGAAGGTTGAAGTGAAAGCATCTGAGTTTAAGACTAGACTGGGCTACAAAGCAAGATCATGTCTAAAACAATAAATAAAACTCTCAATTCTCTTACAACGCCTAGCCTTTTGCTTTGTCCCAGCCAAAAGTAAATGAACAGTATACATGCTGCTAATAGAAGCCTGCTGGCCTCTAACAGAAGACACCTTAAGAAACCGAAATTCAGCCAAGCACCAGTGGCTCACACCTACTCAGGAGGCTGATATTTGAGGATCCTGGTTCACAGCCAGCCCAGGCAGGAAAGTCCATGAGACTCTTATCTCCAATAAACCTCTAGAAAACTGGAAGTGGTACTGTGACTCAAGAGGTAGAGCACTAGCCTTGAGCTGAGGTAGGGTCCAGGCCAAGAGTTCAAAGTCCACAACCGACCCCCCCCAAAAAAAAAACAAACAGGAAGAAACTGAAATTTGGTAAAATATCAAAGGTTTTTTTTGTTTGTTTGTTTTTTAAAGCACATTTCATGCAACTATTTCACAGATATATTTATTTATGTGTTTTGGTTAGTTTTCTAATATTGGTCAATTAACTTTTCCTTTCTACAGAATCCTTGAAGTTCATCATTACCATCCCAAGCTATCTTCTCTCCCTAGGTTCTAGGCTGTTATAGCTGAGAACCTGATCTCTGCCTACGTTTTCAACCCATGTTGTAAACACCTGGATCAGCACGTCTCAATCCTGTCTTCTCATTATAAACATCAGGGGGCTTTAAAAAAATATATAACGACTTTCTGGGAGTGGACCTGGGCATACACACGTGTGTCTGTGGCAATGGGTATAGTTCTATTTCCCTCACTTGTGCTTCTCCAAATAATCTTAATCCTATATTCTGTCAAGATCCGGAACCATTACTTAGCCTATAATCCAACTCAACAACCTAAATCTGTACTACCACCTCTCATTCAATTCTACAAATCCTAGCCTGTCTTCTTGGATGAAGTTTGTTCAAATCTCTTAAACTACATAACTACATAAACTCTCAGCTGATCTACTTTAGTCTTTTAGAGGGTTTTTTCTGGTTTTGTTTTGTTGGCAGGCACTTGTCAGGCAAGGTGCTCTATCACTTAAGTCATGATCTGTTCCAAACAGCATTACCTAGCTGGCTCCTCTCTACGCATATCAACTTTACCCTCTTGTCCTGGGCTAATGATCCTAATGATTTCTGTTGTTCATGTATACTGCCCATATATGTATGTATTCAGAATGCATGATAGTAAAATAAAAATATAGTGTTAATGAAATACATATTGTTGAAAATCTATTAGGAATTCAGTGAATGTTCACGTGTTGAGTAAACAATAAGTAGTAATTTATCCAACAGATTGTAAAAACAAGATCTAAATAGACTGTCCAAAATATTCCTATTTTGTGCTCTACTTTTAAGAAAAAAGAAACATCTGGGGATTTATTCAAAAAAGCATTCTACAGAATATGTCTAGAGTCAGTGCATTCCCTGGTTATACAAGCAATCAGCCTTATGGCACTTGTTTCTGAACCACTAAAACAAGAATTCCTGTACTAATGAAGGTAACCAGGACACTATATTTCTCCTAACCAAATTAAATCTAATTTAGTTCACAGATCAATGAGGTTTCTATAGATCAAGCACAACCATACTCTACTTACATTTTAGACATTAAGAAGCGTTACTGCTAGCTATATGTTGTGGCACCCAACTGTGAGCCCAACAATCAGGAAGCTAAAGCAGGGAAATCCTGAGTTGGAGAACAGCTTGAGCAATAGCAATTCCCTGAGCATAATGGCACACATATGTAATAATACTAGGTACTCCCAAAGCATGGGAAAATCAAGATATGAGGCCAGCTTTAACAAAAAGGTATAAACTCTTCCCAAATAGTAAATAAGCCCAGCCAGGCATCAGTGGCTCAAGGCTAAGATCTTAGCAACTCAGGAGGCTGAGATCCAGAGGGTAGTGATTCAAGCCCAACCCAGGCAGAAAAAAAAAGTTTAATAGGTCCAGCAAAAACAGGACTGGAGAAGCATGGCAAGTGTGCCAGCCAAACAAGAAAATCAAAGCAGCAAGCTGAGCAAACATAAGCTCTCACCACCCCACCCCACCCCCACCCCCACCACAAAAAGAAAAAGAAGACTTAGCATGACGTTGAAAATAAACTATATAATTTGTGGGTAGGGACAAGAGGGAAAACTGGGAGGGTGAGGAAAGGGGCGACACTGTCCAGAAAGAAATGTACATATTACCTGACTTGTAAGCCCTCTTGTATTTTCATTCACCTTTATAATTACAATTAAAAACTTTACATAATTTTCTAAAAAGCTCAGCATAGTGATGCATGCCTGGAACCCCAACTACATAAGGGGCAAATGTATAAGGTCAACCTAGTGAAAACTTAAACCAAAGCAAGAAGGACTAGGGTTGCTGCTCAAGTGATAGAGCTTCTGTCTAGAAAGCTATTAGGTCCTGAGTAAAAATCTTGTACCACCAAAACAATAAAGAAAAAAAATAGCCAGTCATAATTGGATCATACCTATAATCCTAGCTATCTAGCAAGTTGAGATCTGAGGATCACAGATCTAAGCCAGCCTAGGCAGAAAGACCCACGAGACTCCAACTCCAATTAACCAGCAAAAAAAGCCAGACACTGTTGAGTAGCTAAAGTGGCAGAAAGCCAAACTACAGCACAACATCTCAAGTTTAAGCCCCTATCCCTAGGAAGCACCGAAGGGAATTTGCTGTTTTTTGTTGTTGTTGCTGTTGTTGACCTGTTTGAATACTAAAGCAAATGCTTTAAAAACTTTGATATAATACGCACTTTATTATTCTGAGTCAAGAGTCTGGTTAAACAGCTCCAGGCTGACTTAGGGAGGAACTGGAGTTCCTGGTGCCTCAGACTTCAGAGTGGTAGGACTATACAGGGTATAACCACCAGACTAGTTGAAATAATAAACACTTCAGAAAGGTACTTTTTTCTAGTGTCCATCTGCTTCCATTACAGTCAAAGTACTACTTTTGACTATATATTTACAATATATTGGACATCTCACACAAAGACTTAGCCAGGCACTCACACCTGTAATCCTTTGCTACTTAGGAGGCTGAGATCAGAGGATCCAAACAAAGCCAGCCAAAGCAGGGAAGTCCAGGAGACTCTTATCATCAATTAACCAATAAAAAAACAGAAGTGGGGCTGCAGCTCAGAGTGGTAGAGTGCTAGCCTTGAGCCAAAGAAGCTCAGGGACTGTGCCCAGGACTAACAACAACAACAAAAAAGTGGACTTTTAACTTAACTCAATTTATTGTTTGAATTTTTCTTTTTTTTTTGGGGGGGGGGGGGGGGTTAGTCAGGAACTTGAACTCTGGGCCTGTCCCTGATGTCTTTAGCTTAAGGCTAGAGCTCTACCACTTGAGCCAGAGGCACAAGTTTATTGCCTAGTTTGGCTTCACTGGCGCTGCTGGCTCATTTTTTTTTTAATAGTTTTCTTAGCCAGAAGCTGGTGGCTCACACCTGTAATCCTAGCTACTCAGGAGGCTAAAATCTGAGGACTACAGTTCAAAGCCAGCCCAGGCAGGAAAGTCCCTGAGACTCTTATTTACAATTAACCACCAGAAAACCAGAAGTGGTGCTATGGCTCAAGTGGCAGAGCACTTACCTTGAGCTCAAGAGCTTAGGGATAGCACCCAGGACCATATTTCAAGCCCTACAACTTGCATTAAAAAAATGAAAATTGAAATTTAAAACAACACAAGACAGATGTTGGGCACTGGTGGCTAATACCTGTAATCCTAGCTACTCAGGACTCCAAGAGAAGCCAACCCAGGCAAGAAATTCTATGAGACTCATGTCCACCACCAAAAAGGCCAAAAGTGGAGCTGTAGCTCAAGTGGTAGAATAGTAGCCTTGAGCAAATAGTTCAGGGACAGTACCCAGGTTCTGAGCTGAGGGCCCAGGACCGGCACCAACAAATAAAATACAATAAAATTTAAAACCATGGGAAAAAATTGTCACACTAATAAACAGGCTATATTGTAGAGTGAAGGAGAGTGAATATGGTAAAAGTATTGTAAATGTTTGAAATTTAACAATGAAACCTGTTGAAACTGTTTTAAGAGAGAGAGAATAAGGGAGAAAGAGTAGGTGAAGATGGATGGATGGAAATGACACTGGACTGAAGCCCCCTTGTACAATTAATGTATACTAATAAAAAAAACTTAAAAAGTAAATGAAGGTAAGGACAGGAGAGAGAAAAATTAAATTGAATTAATTTTTAAAGTAAAAGAAACAAAATAAAATACTAAGAAAAAGAGTATATATTATCATCCAATTTGTAAAAAAAAATAGTTTTATTATTAAAGGTCATAGAGTTCATAAGCAATATAAATTAAGATAATGAAGACTATCATTGTGAAGATTAAAAGGTGTTTATGACTTTAAAAAAACAAATATAATAAAAAACGTAAAAGAAACAAAATAAAACCTGTTAAAATTGTTTTAATGAAGGAATGAGGGAGAGATGGTGATTAGTCTGATTGATGTATGTTGTACACATGTATGGAA